AAAATTAATTAGCTTTGCTTATTGTTAGCTAAGACCTCACCAAAAATCTTTACACTGGATAGCACAAACAGCTAATTAACAGTAGTACCTATATTGGGACATTGTTTCAAAGGAAGAATTTTGAAGAAAATCAGAAGATCATGTAGGTGATAATTACAGAAATTCCCACTTTGAAGACAGAAAGGTACTTACAATACAATTATTACCTTAGAGGCGATGGTCCTAAGATCTCTCACAAGTGGAGTAGAAGGATAGTTAAAGATTAGACTTTACTAAAAATGGAATAATCTTTTAAAAATCACATCAGCTGCCCTTACCTTAAATTCATTCTTGTCCTGCAGGTCTGAAGTAAACAGCCTTAACTTCCTATCAGAAGCTGCAGTACAAAACCTACACACAACAGACAAAAAAAAGGCTTGTCAGTCAATCAACATTGCAATGGTTGCCTATTAATCAATCAAAGATGCCTTTTCCTTCATCTTAAAAATGCAAAGAAAAAAAAAAGATTTTGAAACACCCAAAAGCATCTATCTTAACTTTTCTGCTTTGGCAACAAGCAGAATTACAACTGGAGCTTATCTGTAAAATAGTGTGCATCAAGTGCCAAGAATACTTATTCAGATATTTTTACAAAGCCAAATCTGGATAAATTACAAATTACCTGAAATATCTCTCATAAATGCAGCTGAAACTTTCCTTGGAAGAAGTTAAGTGGTAAGGCAAAAAAAACAATCTTCACTATCAGTGTTCTAAAATACTGAAATATAAAATTCAGAAACCAATTTCTATTTAACATATTTTAATCTAAAAGACTGTATGAAAATTGAGCAGTAAGCAAATATGGTAATTTTGAAGAATCAAACAAACTACTGAGTACATTTTAACTCAGAAGTTTACACTTAATAGCTAACTATCTTTCTAGATTTTCTAGATTTACACCTCAAACGGTCTCACAAATAGTATCTACCTACACTGAAACACAGCACATGTGATGCAAATCAGTGCAAATAGCTTTATAAATGGGGCCATTCAAACGATCTCACATTTACTAAAGCTCTTAAAAGAAATGGTTTCTCTGAGATGTACAAAGAAACTATGTCTGAGGTCCATAAAAATAATTAAAAAGATATTGTTTACAGCTTGTTCAGTAGGGAGAGAGTCAAGTGGCACAACAAGGAGGACAAAAACCAAGCAAATGAACAAAGAAAAGGCTATAAGAACAAATACTCTACTGAAGAATTCAGAGATTCATCAGTGATTTCTAAGGAATTAGATTTCACTCATAAGCTTAGAACAGTCCAATATCAAGGATTTAGGGAAAACAGGAAAGAGACAAGGATTCACTGTGGTTGTTTATTGTCAAGTACCTTATCTGGGGAGGTATAGCATCAAGTCTAGTTTCAGGGCTCCATGCTATGGCATCAACTCTGATTCCATGGTGAAATGTTCTTAGTGTCTTATATTGCATGCCTTCCACTTCTGCATCCTCCTCCTACAGAAATATTGCAGTTAGCTGATTCAGAACAAGGTCTTGGTGACTTCTAACAAATCAGATTGCCACAAAATGAAAGGGCTTTCAAAATTACATGTATTGGGATCACTTCAGATCATAACACCTTCAAAGAGAAAACCTGGAACATACAGAGAACATTAACTTGAAATATTTAAGTACTTAGAAATACATTAAAGTATGAGTAAATTATGACAGATTGCAGTCTCAAACCAGAGGCCAATGAAGAGCAGAAAAATCAGAACTGAGCTATGAAGATGCTGAGCTCATTCTCTGTACAAGCAGTGTCTTCACAGATACAACTAAGGCCACTTAGAACAGCATGGCAATTTAATTTAGCACACACTGCAGTGAGAAGAAGCAATGAGAACAAAAGCAAACATGTAATTTCATCTGTCTTCTTTCTGAGTTGTTTTTACACCATGGAAAAATGCTGTCACTTCCAGAGCATCTCTTTTCAAACAGCAGGAGATAAAAAGGTGCCCTCTGTCATCTAATCCTAAATACAAGCTTGCTTATTCTTACCACTGGTGTCAGAGCACCAGATAACAGGAAAAATGAAACAAGAGTTGGGATTATGGACTCTGTCAATAAGCTGACCCCTAAAAAGCTTTTAAAAGTTTTCAGAACATCCAATGGAGCACCTCAAAGGATATTCCTACACAATTTTCTCTATGTCACAATTCTGCTTTAAGATAAAGAACCTCTCTACATAATGTAGAGGCCAAGCAGAACCCAGCTGAGGATGCATGAAATTACCCACAGTTTTTCAATGCTTCTCAACAGGAAGAAAGAATAACATTTTCCTCTCCTACTCTGAAATACTCACTGACTCCACATGTGGAAGGGAAGGGAGGATATGAAAATGATAGAAAAACACCTTGTGTCAGTGCTTGTCAAAATGTTAATTAACTTCCTTTTCAAGGCCTACACCAGAAACAAGGTAGTGAGCAACACAAATGTCAGTATGTTTTTGTGGTTAGCACTAGGTGCTCTTCAGAAAATTTCCAACAGTAAGACCATGGGGAATAACAACAACAATAATAAAAATATCAGCTACATTATTAATCATAGTAGACAATTTACAAAAATAATATTGTATAATAAAGAAGCAAGATGGAAGAAAAAAAGCTTAGAAATTCCAAGCAATTGTCATGGATTGCCAAGCATCTAGGCAAAAAAACCCCCATCTAATGAAAAACATTTTATCCAGTATAAAAATATACAATACTCAGTGTTTTCCATCTAAAAATTTTTCACAATATAACGGTAAATAACTGAAGGTAAGAAATTTTACCGTTTCCAACAGTCTGTGAGGGAGATCCAACAAAAAAAAATTGTGAGAAAAAAAAAAATTAGGTAAGTATTTCTACAGTTCATCCCTAAAAAGAAATACCTACAAAATTAGCACAGATATATTAGTGTGTATTTTACATATATAATTTTTTTTTTTTCCTGAAAAACAAGTATCCTAGACTTGTTAGTGTAATAAACAAGTAAAATTCTCCCTTGTTTACCACAGGGAGAGGAGGAAACAGGAAAGTGACCAGTGTCTTCCTGCAGTAGAGAAGCTGGCAAGGTGAGTTTCAGGGACATGTTAGTTTCATCTGACAAAAACAACGAACCTGAAATCTGCAAGTCCCAACAACCACATAATTGTTGCCACCATAGGCAATGAGGGAACATGAATCTCCACTGTCAAATGGATTGAATTTTACCACGTGCACATAATCCTCACAATCCACAGTGTAAGAAGTGTTTCTTGTAGAATCTTGCTTCATTTTCAGTCAACTAAGTCAAGGTATCACGGAAGCGATGTCTTCTCCAGGATGAAAATCCACATTCCTACACAAAATTTTAAAAAGGACAGATGTCTCATGGCATGAATAAAAATCGTAAAGTATTTGTGGCAGAGCAAATAAACATTTCCTACAACATGTTCAAGAACACAAAAGCTGTATTGAAGCTTATTAGATATAGCCTGTTTGTTTCATCAATCAAAATATTTACTACGCTAACATACATTCAGAACTCTCTTACAGACTTCAGCAATAACTGCAAATCTTGTGCTAGCCCTGGCAACCCCACATCAATAAAAAAATCAAGTAACTGCAAATACTCCAGAAGAGTCACACACAGCATTTTAGCATTTTCAACCAAATGAGAAGAAACAATATGTCGCTACCTTCAAATTCTCTTTACTGGTCTACCTCTTTACAGACAGTGAGTCTAACTAAAAACTAAATTAACCAAAGTTGCAAAACTGTAAATGAAAATACTATTGTGCATTCAACCAGTTTTCATGAAAACCAGGTTTCTGTGCTAGAACACAAGAGACCAAGATACACAATTGATTTCAGAATCAATTCCTTTTAGTCCCAGTACAGATTTGATGTTAGTTTATGTCTTTTTGGTAAATCAGATCTCTAACTACACACCACGTGGAAAACCAGCTTGAAATCTCAGACCTTTGACAGATTTTGGTGTGTAAATGATCAGAAGATCTCAGCATCCAAGACTGGATGTTTTGCTTGGGAGCCAGCCAGCTCTGACAGAGGCATCCCTCAAACACAGAGAGGCTCTCCATAGTTGTGTGCTTGTGTATTAATTCATACAACAGTCCACTAGAGTACTGTAAATACTTCAGCCATATAATCTGCATAGCTTTGCTCCTAAAGCCAAATGCAAGTTTTAATTCTATCAAAAGTTTTCTTCCTCCAAGGCTTCCCATGAACACAAGCCATTATAGAATCTTAGAGTGTTTAGGGGTTGGAATGGACTTTAAGATCACGTAGTCCCAAACCCTGCTGCCATGGGTAGGGATATATTCCATCAGACAAGGCTGTCAATGCCTCATCCAACCTGGCCCTGAACACTGCCAGGACTGGGACATTCACATCCACCCCAGGCAACCTGTTCCAGTGGCTAACCCTTCTCACCGGAAAGAATTTCTTCCTCTCACGTAAATAAAGTTTCCAGTCTTTCAGTTTGTACCCATTGCTCCTCGTCCTACCACTACAGTTCCTGACAAAGTCTCACTCCAGCTTTCCTGCAGCGCCGCTTGAGATGATGGAAGGTGCCCCACTCAAACTCTTCTCCAAGCTTTCTCAGCCTGAATTATCGGCCACCAGACCAGCTTGAAACCACCAAGAGTATCATTACCTTCATTTCTTTAGGAAGCACTATCAGGGCAAACAGACCGCGTGGATGCGCTTTACCTCCCGCCATCCCTGCGCATCCTTTGCCCACCAACTCCCTCCTTTTCCCTCCGGGGCCCAGCCAGGCTGCCCGAGTTCCTCCGGGCCGGGGGTGCCCCAACCCCGCTCCATACGCACCTCGGCGTCCCCGGCTCCCGTTCCCGCACGGTTCCCCAGCAGCGCCCGCCCCGGCCGGCGGCAGCGGCAGCGGCGCGGCTGCTTCCGGGGCAGCGGCCCCGCGCCCATTGGGCCACGCGGCGGGTTTGAACGGGGCCGCCGCGCCCCAGCCCGGCCCGGCCGCAGCGGCAGCGGCAGCGCTGAGGGCACGGCAGCGCTCCGGGCACGGTTGCGGGGCCCGGTATGGCCCAGCCGGACCACTAGGCCGCAATGGTAATGCCCATTCCGGCTTCTGGGCGTTAGGGACGGCTCCGCAGGGGTTTGGGCTTGTTCGGGCTGTTTCGGTGTAAGCGACAGGTATGGTCCCCCTCGGAAAGCTCGCAGGGTGGTGAGAAAAAAAAAGCCTTTTGAGAGGTTTTACTCTGCCCCACGCTGACTTTCTCTGTGACCCCCGTGTCGTTTTCGCACTGTTAAGTCAAGTGTCCCCTTAAAGCGTTTTGGAGAGTGAGAAGTTGCTGTTGCAGCCGTGCTTGTTTCCCGATGTCTCCTGTCCTCCTTGCCACTTCCTCATTTTGGTACATTTCATGCCAATAACAAAAAACAAACGCGCTGTGGGCATTGCCTCAGCTGTGTGGGAAAAGGTCAAAGGTTGAATTTTGTCTTCTGGAAGTAAATGGGATGGATATTTCTCCTGGCTGTAGTGTTAGGAAACTTTGTTTCAGAAAAGAACAAGTTTAAAGCAAACTTCTGCTACATTGTCATCTACCTTATCTTGACAAATGTGAGAGACCAAAGCATGAAGTATTCCAATTATTGCTAGAGAAAATAATGGTTTATAGAATTAAAAAAAAACAATTTTTTTTTAAGAAGGATAAGACTATATTGGTAACAAAAGTGTTTAGAGTCATCTGTGTTAGTAAGTCTTACAAATATTAAATCTCTTTTTTTCCAGGTTTAAAATATCCTCGTAGACACTCATCTATATGTATAGCAAATGCAGAAAATACTGAAGACGCTCTGAGGCTGCTTTTGGAGACAAAGAGTTGTATTTGTGATAACATTCCTTTATGTTGGCATAATGTACAAAGAAAGTAAGGGCTTTGTGAAGGCGTGACATACATAAGCACTTTTAACCCCTTACCTTCATAGTTGCTCTGTCACAGTGAGGCAAGTCTGGTTTAGTTGGAAGAGTTTATTCTAGGAACTTGGTCTTTAAGAAGATACAAAAGGGTTTGCACAGCTTGTAGGGAAGTGAAGACCTGCATATTCCTCTGGCATAGTTATATTTGTTTTTTTCTTAATTATATCAGTCTTCTAGTCTAGACAATGATTACTTTCCAGCAAAAAATTTTACATTTGGTGAAGTGCTTCAGAAGACAATGGCCTTTATTTTCCAACTCTGAAAGGACTACTATATGTGGAGCAGACTGCATGTTGATGGCATTACAACTGTCCATGGCTGAAGTCAATAAACAGGTTAGCATTCTCTTCAGTATGTTTCAACCATAGGCACCAACTTGAAATGACATTTTGGTTGTTTCCTTGATGTTTGTTAAAACAAGGTGTGTCTGAGGGCCAGATGCAACAAGGCAAGAAAATGAATATGATTAAGGGCACTATTGTAGCAGGGTTTAGTAAAAGGAACTGTGAGACAGATTGGAGGATGGAAGTGCTTTATGTGTGTACTTGAGCTCCAACTTTAAACACTAGGGTACTTCTGCTGGCCATGTCACTTCTGTTTATTTCCATCCTCTGTTTCTTTTGTGCTATAGACCAGCATGGGAGAACAGTGGCATTTGGCGTGCATTTTTTTCCTGGGTGCTCCAAAAACATTTCTGAATGAATTTCTGTATGTACCTGTAAGTTGTGAGTGTGTGCCCAGTACCAGTAGGGATTTTGTGGCTTTCTTTGTGTGTGTACATGAAGTGTCAAATGGTGAAGAGGAGTTGCAACCCTAAAATGTCTCTGAAAGAAGCATTGTGACTTGTCAGAGCTGGAGGATGTCTGAAACATACCAGAAACAGTTGCAATATACTGCAATATATAATGAGGCCTTTGCCTGTGTCTCATCTAAGGAGAACTATTGCAATACTTGTTTTAATAACCTAAAGATACCTTTTTAGGTTAATTAACCTAATTATTGGTGAAAACAATACTGACTGTTTTTGGAAGACTTTCTCCAGTGGCGCGTAGTAAGTCAAATGCATAGCACAAAGCTTTAGTGTAAGAAAACCAAAACAAACATACCAAATCAACAAACATACCAGAAACAAGAGCACCACCTCAAAGTGAAATCCCTAAGCCAATAAAAAACCCAAACAAACAGAAAACCTGCTTCAGTTTGTGCATCAGAAAAACATTTGGAGTCCAAAATGTGCAGACTGGGGGTATCTCCTGTCTAAACATTAAGTATAAAACTGGTTAAGAATTCCCCCATTGTTAGAAACATTACAGGAAGGATACTAGAATGCCAAGAAACTACATTTATACTTGTTGGAATGTAACATATTCCAGCCAGGAGCCTGGTGTCCTCACAATACTTGTGTAGGTTAAAATGAGAAAATCAGTGCGCATCAAAATTAGCTCTTGGAAAACTGGTAAAAGACATTAATGCAAAACTACATGTGGAGGTGATTGCTGTTTGTCATATTTGTTGTGATTCTCAAGGGAAAACTGCAAACAGTTTTCCAAAGCCACCTCTAAAATAGGAGTTAAAATGTGTTGTTCTACTGTATGCCAAAACTTACAGACATGAAAAGGTTATGGTTCATTGCTCCCTGTTTTCCTTACACTAAGTTTATCTTCTTCCAATAGAGGTAATTAGTTTATTCTACTTTATCCTTTTTTTTGGCTCTTCCAGATAATATTCCCCTCTTCCAGAAATATCTTTTCTTTCAGAGATGTTCTAACAAAAATTATAGCAGTTATTTTCAACTAATTGAATTTTGAAATGCTTAGCCTCTCCTTCAGATCTGGAGAAAGAGCAAGTTTTCAAAGCCCTGATATGTTTTTTTCTGATTATACTAGTTGGTCTAATAAGACAAACCTTGGCTTACATATGTGGATTAAAATTATTTTAGCATTTGGATGTTCTGCCTCTGAAGCACAATTTCTTTAGATGGTAACCATTTTGAAGTTCACAATCTTAAAGCAAAATCTGTCTGGTTTATTTTGTCCAGCACTGAAACTTCAAACTAACATGAAGAGTATTACAGTTGTGGGCATGTCCCTTGTTAGGTTTCTGATTTTGATTTAAATACAATAATTTTGAATTGTTAGCACCTGTAGAATGGAAATCTATCTTGGTAAAGTCAATTACTGCAATAAAAATAACTTCATTAACAGGTGATTGTGGGACTATATTGAGAAAAACCCAACACATCAAACCTATCACAAACAACCAAATTACACTTCTCTTCCTTTAGGAGCCTGGACAATTTTAATGGATTTTGTGTTTTAACTAGCACCTGTATTCACAGTGGAAATGAAAAATAACAAAGCTTTTAGGAGAACTTGAAGTTCAAAAGCTTTATAATCTATTAATCTTAAATTTCACCAGAATAAGGGTAGCAAAAAGTGTGATAAACCCTGATCAAACAGCAGGGATGAAGGAAAAAAAAAATCTGTGCTCTGAATCCCTCTGAAAATACTTTGGTTTGTGGCACAGTTGTAGCCATGTGGCATAAAGATAAGTGGCATAAGGTCTGTGATGGAAACAAGTACCTTTCACCTAGATTGATTAGTATAGATCTAAAATCTAGGAACATTTTCAAGAAGAACCTTCCTCAAGGTTTGAAATAGTAATAACAATTTTCAAGATGAAATTCAGCTGAGAGCAATTGCTTTAAGTTGATTGTATGTACCTGTGGATCAGCAGGGGTAGAAGATTAGTTGTTAGGTCAAATAATCACCTGTCATTTTCAGACTATGGCTGTTTTAGCTACTGGGATGGGGAACTGAAGTGTATAAAACAATTATTTTTCCAGAATCTGTGAGTTTAAGTTCTTAGACTTAAATGTGTTGTAAATCTCTTCTAGAATGAGAACTTCGATACTGGAGGAAAAACTGCTTCATTGTTGATTTTAGAAATATCTCTTCCCTTTTGAAATTTGTATTTCTCTATTTCTGATTTTGCATAAAAGCAGTTTTGGTATGTGGTTTAGTTCTGTTCTGTGCTTCCATGAGTGCGTTTTGCGTGCTGACTGAAGAAGATTGTGTTCTGTTTGGTGTCTTGTATTTCTTCAAATAATTTCCCTCATTATCCTGTTTCCATGTTGGCAAATGCAGAAAAATGTGGAATTTTGAAGTGTTACTCCCTTGAACTGTTCTATCTGTCTCCCTTTTGGTAATGAGATAGTCCTAACTAACTTTGTAGCAATTTTATGTGACATGTTGCTTGTAATATGTTGTGATGAGGCTGCTAAGAGTGGAAAGCCAGGTGTCTGCTAAGGAAGGCAGGAGCCTCCCCTGAATGGAAACTGTAAACCTCCTCCCTCCAAATTGTTATAAATTTGAAATTAAGTGGGGCTCTCAGGCAAAGATATGGGAGCAGGAATAGCAGATCTTTATTAGGGAAGAAAATAAAATAAATGATGCAGTAAACTAAAACAACACTGACAGAGTCAGAACACAACCTGACACCCTGTGGGTCAGGGTGTTGGTAGCAGTCCGATTGGAATTGTGGCTGCAGCCCTCCTGGAGTGTCAGGTGTGGCTCTGCTGGAGCAGGGGTCCTGTAGAAAAGGGTGTAGTCTTCCTCTGACGATCCAGTGGAAGGAGAGGCAGCTGCTGTTCCTCTGGGAAATCCAGTGGAGAAGCCGTGCTGGTGTTCCCGAATCTCCAGATTATATCCAGTTAGGAATGCTTGGCTCCTCCCTCTGGGCTCACATCTCCCAATGGGATACTGTAGCTCTTATCAATCATGCAGTGACATTCAGTGGCCTGTTATCAGCAGATGTCTCCCCAAAGGGAGGAGTACTTGTGGAAGACATAAGGAAAAACTACCCACTTAATAGAAGACAACTGTCATACCTCTAACAGAGGGTAAATAGAACACATATTGCTTGGCAATCAAAGACACCCAACTCAAGGACAAAGCCAGAAAATAACGCTGCAGTCTGGGAGTATGTCTGGAAAGAATAGACCCAACACAGAGGTGGTGCTTAAAGCAGTCTTTTACACATGTATTCCTAAAAGGGTTGGTGAGCCTTTGGAGAAGGTGGAAGCCAAAATTTTGGTGCTGACATGCACAACTTTCTGGTTTTTGAAACAATTTGCTGTCAAAATAGATATTGATTTGCTATGTAGTTAGCTCTAGAAAAGTTACAATACCTTCAAAATAGTAAAAAATGGTGTCTTGAAGCATGAAATGTTGCTACTGGATTTCAGACATTCTAAAACCAGAGTCCCCAGGTAACTTAATATGATGTATTACCAGGAAGTGGGGATACTTTATAATACTGTATTGGTTCTATTCCTATGAAATGAAATACTTTTTCTGCCTATAATAGAATGAAAACATGGGACTTTTTGAACTTCCTTAAGCTATTAGCCAGTTGACAAATGCTTACTGTAAAACACCACAGTATTTTTAAAATTAATTTTAAAACCAGAGACTTGACAAAATGACTGTGTAAGTAATGGAATATGCCATCACAGTAAATGCTTGATCACAAAGGTTAATATCTGAAATGCAATATTTGGATTTAAAATATTTTTGCAGCACTAACATAAACTTTGCTAATCTCTGCATGCCCTTGATCTGGTGAGGAAAGGTTTTGATTTAAAGTACAACTTCATAAGGTATCTAATAACTTGGTACTCCTGAAGGATTTTGATTCAAAATAAAGTGAGAAAACAACATTTTTTCCCCCATCTACTGCTGCTTTGATCTGTTTAAATTGAGTTATAATATGATTGTGTGTTTAATTTTTTGAGGGGCTGAAATGAAAATCAGGTGCTTTTCAGAAAACACATATGCAGTTTTAACATTCTGGTAATATGTAAGTTCATAGTGCTGACTTGTCATAACCCATGCTCAAATAAGAAGGCAGAAAAGTGCTCTGAAGCTAATGTGTGAGTGTTCTTTAATTTACTCTCCCTGTTCTTCACCTAGGCAATATCAAAATAGCTGACTTCCAGGATTTTGGAATTGGCTATTTAATGAGGTCTATTGAGAAAGTTGTGCTAAATGTGTTAGAACCCAAAGGAGGGATCATTTGGGCTGGAACAACATAAATTATTGGAATTCTTCATATTTTCATATTTAATGTGTTCTGTTGCTAATGGTGTTTATAAGTAATTAATTTGCTTAATGTGGAAATGTCATGAAATAGAATTAAACCTTTGCTGTAGGAGCCATCTGCCACTATGGACAGTTGAAAGCAGGGCTTGTTACTTGGTCACAGGGCATTTCTCTCACATTACGTGGTGAAAACCACCTTTTTTTGCTGCCACATATTGAGGAGTGCTTTAGATACCTGAAGTGTGGACAAAAGTTTACCAGCAGGAGCTGGGAGCTGGTACTCAGTTTGAAGAGCAGGGTGTGGACAAAAATGAGGAGGACAAGTTGTGAAAGAGAAGGTGGTAAAAGCAAGTGGTTGGAGGAGATTGCAGATGGGCACATGGAACAAAATCTGATATTTTTCACCAAAAGAATGTAGTCTATACTGCATAGCTAATATTAATTATAGTAGTAGCAACAGGGATGTGCATGGCTTTAATGTATTTATTAGAACTGTGTAGCAGCACTATCAATGTTATGATAAAGTATAACTGTATTAGCACAAGAAAGAAAAGCTCCTTTTTTTAAAATTGATGTGTATTTTCCCAGTTTACTGCTTAAAGCAAAGTAAGAGAGCCATATTTACTCCCTTTGGAAAGTAAATGCCTCCTATGCTGAAAACTATTTCTGCAAATAAAGAACTTTATGCAAGAAGTAATCCTGCAACATTCACTGTATTTTTCTCATACATGCCTGGTACTTTAAAGATCAGGAACAAATACTGACAGAATATAACAAAATTCAGCTGTCGATGCAAAGCTGTGAGACTTTGTTTCTGATCAATTTAAATTATAATGATTTTCAAATATATGTTTGTTGTTTATATATTTGCAGTTTGCTTTAAATTTGTTTTCAAAACTATGCTGAATATGAAACTTTTTTTTGCCTTTTTTATTTTTGTTCTGTTAGCACCATGGAGACTTCACAGTATCACTTAGTGATGTGTTGGAAACATGGAACTATTTGTTACATGACAAACTGGGATTGTATGAAAACATGAAAGAACCTGAAAATTATGCTGATGTGAAAAAAGCCTATCATGCCTTCTTAGCAAGAAGCAATATGTTAGATTTAATAGATATATATCAGAAGTGCTGTAGTCTTGGACTTTTAGCTGAAGATGAAAGCATATACCCTGTGAGTATTATGTTTGTTTGACGTCTTATGTTGTTTTGACATATTTTTGGTTCCAGTTATGGATTTATGATACTTCTAATTATTCACAGGAGCTCTGGATTATTCACTTTGGGGTAGCCTTTGAGTTTAAATTAATTAATTTACTTTTGTAAAGGGATTTTAAATTCACTCAAAAATTATTTCTCTATCGTCCTGCTGGATAGTGAGGTACCACAACTCTTCTATGAATAAATGAATCCTTGCCATAAATTGGAATGAGAAATAAACTGTAGAGATTTGATAAAACTGGAACAAAGCTTAATAATTAACGTGCCATGGAGTTTTGGTTGTATGTTGATGTGCAGGCAAAATATTTTCAATGATTACTGTTTTGAAAACACCATGCTCTTTAAAAGAACTTCTGTATAATGTATGTATTTGCATGTAAGGGTTTTTTTTTCAGAAGTTCCAGTTCAGCCACTCAGTTACAGCTCTGTTGTAGTTTATTGCAAGTCTTTTGTTTATTTGGGAGTTTTAATGTGTTTTTCTTTTCCTCCTGGTTTTCATGGGGAAGATAGAGAGCTTAGATGGGTTAATGAGCTATTCCTGAACTTGGCATAACATATTAATGTTCTCCAAAATGCAAGCAGTGGGTTTTAGTGCAAGTGTATAACATAACTGTTTGAGATAATTTTTAAGTTAATTTTGATCTTACTCTTCATTTCTGTACTAGAACAGTTGTACTTCAAAAGACTAAAGCTAAAAGTAGACTGTAAGGGCTGTGCTGACCTCAAACACTAGCAAAGTGACAGGTTTACACCAGGTTTTAAACCCACTTTTGCTCTCTAGTCATCTTCATATTTAAGTTTATTATCACCTTTTTATTAAAGGTTCAACTGTTGGAATTTATTTCTGGTGTAATGAATGCACAAGAAAATAATGGTTCAGTTCTTTCTACTCCTACACGAATCAACAGACAGGGCCAGGAGCATGTGAAGGTAAAAATCATTTTTGTCTCTTGTAATGTTCTGTATCTATTGAAAAGATGAAATATAACATAGTTTTCTTTTCCAATGATTGTTATTCACATGTGGCTGGCTTGAAAAAAGACCAACCTGCATATCCAAATTCTGTATCACTTGAGTATTTTGTAGGTGTGTATGGGGCTGTGTGCTGAAATTTGTATTGGAGGGCAGTCCAGCATGACAGGCACTTGTAGAAAAATTTGTTCTACAAATACACCATCACTAAAACATTGCTTTGACTGCACATTAAATAACTGAAGTACTCTCCTTTGATTTCATTTTATTAGCTTGTAGTCCCTTACATATAGAAGAAATCTGAGCAGCCACTGTAGTGGTAGCTGGAGCACAGCAAACAAGTTTTGGCTGTCCCAACAGAGGACTTGAGGACTTTCTCCCTTTACTCTTTCAACCACCAAAATAAGAATCTCTGCGTACTTTCTGGCAGTGTTTGAAATGCTGGAGCTTTAGTCATTTCCAAGCTTGCTTTTCTCATAATAAATGGCAATTTCAAATCAATCTTTGGGTACAACTCAAAATCTTTCTGGACAAGAAAATATTTTCTGAACTGAGGTTCTCCCCTAAACATCACTTCTACCACTAACACATGGCTTTCTTACTGCTTTGACTTGTGCAGTAAAAATATTCTTTGCTCTTTTTTCCTCCTCTGGGGACTGTCTTTATACATGCTTGGTTTTGTAACTATTTTTTGTTGTTTATGTACTGTGGTATGAGAAGATATTCCATAGCAGGTATAATTTTTCTTGTTATGTGTTCTTCTGTTAATGGCCCCTTTTTCAGATTTATTTTTTTCTTTCCTTGCAACAAAACTGCAAATTCTTCTATTCTGGGGCTGTTCTCACAGTGTCTCGAACAGTGCTGCAATATTAGCAATTACAGTGTTATATATTGGTTATGTGGGTGGGGCTGGATCACAAATTATGCCCAAACTCAGTGGAGTTTCTTTGATTGAAATCCCCTGGAACCCAAAAGAAAAAAAATTACTGAATCTGTGGCAGAGCTGGCAAGTAGTTTAAAATCTTAGTCTTTTTGAAGTTAATGACAAACTTACGTGGTTTAATGGTGCTAATATTTGCTTTGAGATAGAAAAGGGATGTCTGTGAGGAGATTTCTAAACAGAAATTTTTAACCAATTTTAATAACCCTCAAACATCTTGTGAATATTCAAGTACCATCTATGCAATTCTAACTTATCATGTTTGTTCTCATCAAGACTCCCAGAATCCTCATGCATAAAGTAGCCTTTTGAAATTATGCAAGCTGAATTAATAGTTTTCCAAAAGGTACATCAGTACATGTCTAATTAACTTTAAAATAAAATGAAACATTATTTTCAGCAGCAGGAGGACCAATTTGTGTGGTGTTTTCTCATGCAGGTGGCAGTCCTGGCAAAGAAGTCTGTCTGTTCATATTTAAGCCTTTTGGTTAATTCTAAGGATGATCTGGCATTGGCTCATATTCTAAATGTTCCTGACAGAGGACTTGGTAGAGAAGCCTTCACTAACCTCAAACATGCCTCACAGGAGAGAAAAATGTCCATTTTTCTGGTATGTGTGTCAAAGGAATCTTCCTGGAAGTCAGGGCCACCAAATTAGATCTCTCAGCAGAGAATATGGCTTTAATCTAATAAGCAGCACTGATGTTTGCAAGCTGAGTCAAGTACCACTAAGAACAGGATTTTAAAGCTAAAAAGACCATGAACAGGATTTTATAGCTAAAAAGACAATAGATTTTGTGGGGAGAAACGGTTTCTTGTTTGGTCATGGGATCTTAGGGTGGACAGTAAAAGAAGTTTGTGTGTATCTCAGGAGTTCTAAAATGGGATCCTGTTTTAGTTGTGAGCAAACAACCATCTCAAAAATAGTTGAAATAAGGCAAATAAGAGTTCTTTCTCCAAAGAACCACTGTAGTCCCTCATACTTAAAATAGTCATTAAATTTTGCATGCAGTGTAACCCCAGTGCACACAACAGCAGTCTGAGTTAAAAACAGTATGGGTATGTAGTCACTGAAGCGGCTGCATTCTCAAACTTCTATGGTTGAATACATATGGAAAAGTTGTGAAATCTCAGTTGCAGGTTTAATTATTTTAGCTCCTAATGCTCTGTGAACATTGTATAAAAAGATGTATGTGTTTGGACTGGATTTACTGTGTCTTCGTCACGGTTGCCAGAGCGGAAACTGCTCTACTGTGTAAAAAGTCACCTTTTCTGTCATCTGTGTCATGAAAAAATCCTGAAAATGAGAGTATTTTCCATTGGGAAGACAAAGTCCTATGAATCGTGTACTTGATCTGTAGGAAATCTTGAGCACAAAGACAGGAATACTGGCAGGTTTACTTTCTGTGCTAGAGTTATTCCAGTTTTTCTCTTTCCTGCCCTAAGAGCTTTATAATTTAGCTCTGTACTCTGAAATTAAAATTTGTGTGTAGAATTAACATTACTGCATCTGTGTGAAATGCATTGGATTATTATCCTTACTTTCACCTTCCTGGACAACTGCTAGGGGTTTTTTCTTACTGTTGCCTTAAAATTTTGGGGGTTGTACTCTAAGGTATGATTTTTGCAAATCTTCATTATCTTACAGCATATAAAAATATATTGACGCTTTCAGAATGACAGAAGCCTTAGCTGTCATTATTTCTGATAAGATTTAAATATACATTATTTGCATCTCTGAAAATTGTTATAAGCTGAAGTCAACGTTCACATGTTTATTTTAAATTGTCCTTGGGTCATAGAGAGCCCTCTGAATATAAGAGCAGTTTTTGTGAGGCCAGCAGGAGCATTTGAACAGCCACAACAACAAAACAGTTTTTTTGGTGATTTAATAAGTTTTTTGTCCTAAGCTTTCAAAAGGCCAGTGTAAACATCAAATTAGTTTGAGTTTTTTTTACTTTAGCTTGTGGGTTTTTTTAAAAATACTATTATTCATTTTAAGTTTTGACCTTGCAAATATTGAGATGTACAGAGCTTGCAATTAGAAGCTTTTGTTTAATTTCAGGCAAGTTATTTCTTCCCTGAAATCAAACTTCAGTTATCAGCCACTGTAACTTCTAGTTATATCTTCTAGTTATCAGCCAGTTTTTACATAATTTACAGACCTGTAGGAAAGGCTCATTTCAATGTATGTTCAGTCCATGTTTGTCTGTAGTTTGATATTTCTGGCTATTTCTCCTAATAGATGGCAACATCTTTTATCCGGACCATAGAACTTGGAGGAAGAGACTCTGCATCTTCTTTGTATGATCCTTTAAGACCCCATGTAAAAGGCCTTTCCAGCTTTGTTAATTTTATTGACAAGCTGCAGGAAATTGTTGGTGAAATCTTAAATACAAGGTAATAGATTTTGGTCTTGGTGAGCCCCTCCTTTTCTTGTGCTTGAACAAAATTTTTAAATTAAGAGTAAATTTAAAAAAAATTAATACCCTATTTGAAAATATAATTGAAAAACAATTGGGGTAAGCTTATGAATTTCTGAGGGTTTTCTTGTATTAAATTTTTATCAAATCTATATATGTATGGTGATTTGGTTACTTCCCTAGTTGTAAATGAAGTAACACACTTTCCAATTTGTGAGTCTGGTAAGTACATAAACTGATATGTGCTTTACTTCTTGCTGCTTAATTCCTTCCTTTTGGTCATTTCATTCTGTTTACCCTTCTGTAAAGGAGTCTTTATTGCTGCTAACAAATGACAGTGTTGGTTATTTAGCCTTTTCTATCTTTCATTTTAGCTATATAAATGAAGCATAAGAATTATTTTTTAGGGAGCCTGTGGTGGAGTTGCTGATTTTGATTTGTGTTTGAAGAACTGAAGTTAGTGTTTTGGGCAGACTTATAAATCTGTGATTAATTAGAGAAGTGTAGATGTAATACAGGGGTTTGAATTGGTAAGTACTGGCATTCTTACAGGGAGAAGAGCTATCTTCTTAAGCTTCATAGAAATTAATAATTTTGTCATTTATAATCAGTAATTTTTCCATACAAAACTTTGGCAAATCAGCTATAATAGTTCTGTCCTTGATACTAAACAATCTTTTTTTTTTCAAGTTTGAATTGAGTCTAATCCTCACAGTGGAAAACAAAATATTACAAGTAAGCATTATTTAAGTTAATGCTCAGTTTCCATTGAAGCTGGAAGTGGGGAGTATTTCTGAAGTTGTTTTGCAGTTTTGTCTTACTTTTTTATTCTGCTTTTTATTCTTTCATTTCAATATCCTGGATGCCAGAGACATACTGTCTGTGCTGGTGATTAAAGAAACTATTTGCTCAACATATAGTGTATGCTATTTTTCCTTTCTTTAAATCATATCTGTCACTGTATATTGATAAAAAATGAGAAATGGAAAAATATGTATATACATGAGCTTTTTAGGATGAAAAGACTGTATCAGGTGAATACAGTTGAGAAAAGTGTAGCGTAAAATGCTGTAACTTGTTAATTACTCCTCTGTTTAAAAGAGAATGTTTAAATGTGAGAAAAATCATAGTGGGATAGTTGCTGGGAGTTATCAGCTTCTCACTGGGTGAGTTCTCTAGAGCTTGGAAATGCTTTTTAGCACTTAGATATTTATTGTGTAGCTTTCTCTGCTGCACCTGCTGTGTCATTTATTGTGGTGTGTAAATCTTGTTAAATTGGCTGTACACATTTAAGTATTGCTGTTTGTCTTGCTGACCAGGAGTGGAAGATGGCTGTACTGTGCTGTTTGTAGCACCTCTTGTGCTCCCCATGGCCTTTGTATCCTGGCAATGTAAAATATGTTTTTCATCTGTATCTATAGATGTTTTCAAGTGTTTGCTGTATCACAGGGATGAGGACTGTCTGTGTGTCCTGCTTGTCGTGGGCCAGTTGTTGGGAGTTCCAGAGAATCCAGTTCTGTGCAAAAAAATTTCTCTAGTTCTGTTACTGCTGCAAAGTAAGGACCAGAGGGAGTAAAAAGGCAGCAATGCAGCAGAATCCTGAGTTACTTAATCTATAGAAACCCACTGAGAAATCCAAGGGCAAACTAGACAACCTGTCAGCAGCATTGCTCTTTGATGCGGAGATTGGCCAACCTGCATTAACCAGGTCGCTGTATTGGCTATGCCACAAGAAAAATGCTGTGTTTTTTACTTAATTATTAGAAATCTGTTATTTAGGTTTAATTCTGTTACAGTGGACATCTTATGAAACTTGTAATTGCACAAAATACAAAGTAGCCAAATAAACGGTGGGTCACTGTGGGGATGCATGTTGAAAAGAGGCTTTCTTCATCTCCCTGATTCCTTTGCTTTGGGAATCTAGAAACCAAATTGAAGATCTTGGACAGTGGTGGGAAGTGCTTAAGAATATTTTGAACTTACTGTGCAACCAAGTATCTGCTAACCTATGGAGAGTAACAAAAAGTGTTTCTCATCTCCCCGTCATTCAGCTAAGAAAGTGAATGGTAGATCGGATGAACAAAGGGAAATCTGTCAAATAGAGTGGAAGTTTAATGAAACTATGATGGTTTGGTTCAAATATGGCACTCCTGATAGCAGGAGAAATGGAAAGACAAAATGAAATTTGGTAGTTTCAAGGTGTATTCATTGAAGCCAACATTCCTAAAAATCTCTGGCATGTTGAAACTGTTTGCCTCTCCTCATTCTCTAGATGTCTACTATTAGAAGACATCACTAATCTTTCAAGAATCAGTAGCATGAGTATTCGTAACATTGGGGGTTCTGTAAAACTTGTAATGCTAAAACTATTTCTAGATTTGTGCATATAAGACTTGGGCAATGGAAAACTTGGATATTCTACTTTTTTACACCTGCTTCTTGACAAGGAGCATATCAGTGTTGTATTTGTCAGCGAAATGGATGATTATTATACACTTTAAGATCTGAAAGCTCTTTCCTGCTGGTATAAATGAGAAGCTACACTTCTAATCCATCATTCTGGAAACCCTTTTTTTTAGAACTCCAGAAGAACTCCTGAAATGACTTTTCCCAAGTTTGTTTAAAAATTGTGACTTAAAATTGGAGGACAGAAGCTGTCATGCTGGTTACTGTGCTTGATGGTTGGTATGGGGGGATGTGTGTACATATACATACACGTTAAAATCCTCATTAATTTTGTAGAGCGGCAGAGTTGGGAGGTTGGCAGCATGTTTTCCCCTCAGCTGGGCGCTGCCCTCGGCGCAGGCAGCGGCCGCTGGGTGTCACCATCGCCCAGCTCACACCGGAGCCGGGGCCCGCTCGCCCCGGAGCGGCTCCGCATCCCGGGCCCTGCAGCCTCCGCAGCCCGCCGGAGCATCGCACAGCTCGCCTCCACCGTGAGGGTTTGTGCTCTCTGCTTCCCCTCGACAGGGAAAATGCTGTTCCTTATCTGCTTCCTTTGGGAAGGTGGTTGCATCTCGAGGTGCGGTAGTGTAGGGGGAGAGAAAACAAATTGAACTCTATCTAGGCTTGTGCTGAATGTTTGAGTTAATTGGATAGTGTTCACACAGCCCTGGAGGTTTGTGATCTAAAGTTGCTGGAAAGTTGTGCAAGCATATGCAAAACATTGTATATAGGATTGCTTAAACTTAGGATTATAGAATAATTCAGGTTGGAAGGAACATCAGAAAGTTTTTGGTCCAACATCCCGCTCAAAGCAGGGTCAATTATGGAGTCAGCTCAGGTTAATCAGGGCTTTGTCCAGACAAGTTTTGTACTGTCTCTATCCTTGGAGGTTTTTAATCTCCCTTTTGGCAGCCTATTCCAACTGCTTTTGTCCTCACGGTGAAAAGTTGTGGGTTTTTTGTTTTCTTATATTGAGTTGGGACCTCTCTTGTTTCAGTTTATGCCTATTGTCTTTTTTCACTGTCTGTCAACATGAGTCTGGCTCCATGTTCTTGCTTGCCACCCTGTAGGTATTGGAAAGCTGTTAGTAAATCCCCCTGAAGCCTTCCCTTCTGCAGCCTGAACAAGCTGTTCCTGAAGCTGCTTCACACAGGGCATGTCTGCCTGACCAGCTTGGCAGCCCTCTGCTGAACTTGCTCCAGTTTATCAGTGTCTTTCCTGGACTGGGGGCCCAAAACTGGACACAGTATTCTAAATTTGGTCCAACGAGTGCTGATTAGAGAGGGATAATCACATTCCTCAGACTACTGGCTACGCTACTGTTGACGCAGCCAAGGATACTGTAGGCCTTCTTTGCTGCCAAGGCATGCTCCTGGCTTGCAGCTTGCTTGCTGAACATGCACCAAGGTTTTTTACACAGAGCTGCTCCCCAGCCTGTATCATTGCAAGGGGTTATTCCTTTCCAAGGCTTTGCATGTCTTGTTGAATTTCATGTGGTTCCTGTCAGCCTGTTCCTCTTGTCTGTTCAGGTATGTCTTTGCGTGGTAGCTCTGCCCTCAAGAGCATTGACTGTTCCATCCAATTTGGTGTCATCTGCAAACTTGATGAGCATGTAATTTTAGAGAGTCACTGCCAAAGATAATAGGAAAAAAAACAGGTTTCAGGATAGGCTCTTATATTACTCCATTGTTACAATATGTTTGATACCTTCTGAGCATGATGATCCAACCAGTTGTTAACTCCTCTAATTGTCCATCCATCCAGACTGTAACATCAATACTCCTATGTTGAGAGTATTCTCTGACAGTATTGAAAAACCTTGCTACAGTCGAGGGAAATGGCACCCACCATTCTCCCCTGGTCTGCAAATCCAGTCATTTTGTTAAAGGGAAAAACAGATTGGTCAGGCATAATTTACACTTGGTAACTGCATGCTTATAGTTACTGGCTACCACCTAATCCTTCATATGCTCAGATATGTGTTCTTAGAAGACTTTGCATTATTTTCTTGAGGAACAAAGTGAGTCTGATGAAGTTGTGTTCTCCCAAGCTGTCCTTATGGGGTTTTTTAGGTGTTTTTTTTTTGTTGGTTTTTTTGCAATTATTTTCTTTTCTCCATTTGTCACCCTGGTCACCCTGACTTTTCAAAGATGATATAAAGTTCTCTTATGAGGGCATTTGCCAGTTCTATTAAGGCTGTTGGGTGCAGTCCATTTGGTTCAATGTTCTTGAACATAGTACTGTCAAGTGAAGTCTGATTTGTTCTTTTTCCAGTGCTGGCAGCTCTTTTCTGAAAAAATTTCTCTAATCAGAGTATTGGTAAAGACTGAGGTGAAGAAGGCACAGAGTACTTCTGTTTTATCTGTGCCCACATTGTTACAAAATCTGCCTTTCAGCAAAGGTCCCTCATTTTCTTTGTTCAGCAGGTGAAGCTCCTTTATCATTCCTTGTAATTGTCAACTCCAGCTAAGCTTTGGTTTTCCTGATAAAATCCCTAAATGCCCAGGTGATGTTTCTAGATCATTTATCATA